CCCAGGGAGCGGCTCGCCTGCATGAGGAGGACGAAACTGATCGAGTCGTAAAACTTCAGCAGGTCCATGAATAGCGTGACATGCTGGATGCGGAGCTCGTTGGCGCACTCATCCATCACGGCTCGCGCCAACGCAGCACGTAGTGCCGAGCTCCCAGAAATCGCAGTATCCCAGAATGCACCTTGCTTCTCATACCATGCAGTTGAGGGTGCAGCGCGAATGCGGCTCCACAGCTTGAAGGGCAAGGGCAGCAAGCCCAAGACGCGGCAGCCGCCCGCCTCCTTGGGGATGCCGGCCCCCCCAGAGCCGTTGAAATTGTGGTCGGCCAAGCACCTCCACGCTCGGCCTTGTTGAGAATAGCAACAAGCTGTCGTCGCGCAATCTCAGGAAGGCGCTGCACATCGCGAGGGCCGAGAACATCAAAGCCTGGAGCTTTGCCAGGAGCCATGAGCTTGAGTGCACTATCCAGTCGGTCCAGGGTGATCTCAGGCAGTCCGTGGGCGTGAGCATCTGCCAGGAGCTGATTAAACCAGAAGCGAACATCGGCCGAGCTGTCCACTTGCTCAGTCCAAATCCCGTCCCACTGCTCCCGATAGAGCTCCAACATGCGCTGAGGATCGCTGACGGCGCGGCCTTGGGAGTCCTGCGTCTCCTTCTCTGGGCCAGCCTGTGGCTTGCCTGGAATCCATCGTCATCGAGGTGTTGCAGGGCTCCAGCATCCTGCGCCCAGCCTTGAGCAAGTTCCACTGTGATGCGCTTGCAAAAGTAGGAATCCTTCTGGCCCATGTCCAAGGTGGTGACGTGCTTGCCAATGCGCTGGAGGCATTGGTCAAGTTGGGCTGGATCCTTACCGCTACGCAGGAGGGCCGCATATCGGGTGATCAGCGTGGTTGCGATTCCACACCATGAAGGCAAACTCGTTTCGCATATGCGTCCTGCCTGAAGCTGGCATAAGCCTACGGCGTCGAGTGACGGCGCCCGCTGCGCGGCCGGTGTAGGTCTTCCATTCGGCCGCAGGATTCTGTTCAGCTCGCAGGATGGCACCTTCCATGGTGCTGACCCAAATGTCGCCAGTCGTCCGTGATGCTCGCCCGAGCTTCCGAGGCCCGTTCGAAGATGTGGAAGTCCATGCAATCGTGGGCAGGCTTAGATCCAGCAGGCCGAGCTCGACGAGCGCGCCCCCTGGCCAGAGAGGCCGCTGCAGCGCGCCGAACTGCGTCAGCGCGTGGGTCAAGTCCGCTGGCCACGCCCGCTTGCAGGCAGCCGCTTTCGGCAGGCGCAGGCCCAGCCTCAGGCTCGCTGGCCTGCGTCCATTCTGCCCCCCAGGTAGAGTGCCAATCTGAGATTCCCCGCCAAGCGCCTGCGAGAGGCAGCGGCGGGGTGACCGGCGCGATCTCCCAAGCTGGATTAGACCGAGGACCGACAACTGGAACTGGCGAAGGCTGGGCAGTAGGAGGCTCGAGAAGGCCTTGCACAACGCCCAGCAAAGCGAACGCGTCGAACTTGTAATTGTCGTTCATGGTTGACCCGCCTCCGAGCGAGAGGCTCAGCTTCGCCGCAAATCTGGGGCCCCAGCTTCCCCGCGACCTCCTCCAGTGCGGTCGCGGCCCTGCTGGGCCTGCCTCTCGTGCACGTTTCCTCCGAAGGCGACCCGGCAGGCGCCGCGGCGGCGGCCCCGCGGGCGGCGCTGGCGGCGCGCCTGCCAGGCACTGGGCCGAACTCCTCCGCCGCCTCATGTGCCAGTGGGGAAGAGGTTGCGTCGCCAGCAGCTCCCCGCGTCGAGGCGGGCCCGCGCCGCTCGCCGTCTACCCCTTGGGTGCACCTGGGGGCAGACTCCAGCAAAGAACTTGGCGACTGAGCCCAGCCCTTCGCGCTGTTTACCGCATGGGTGCACCTGGGTGCTGGGGCTTGCGTCCAAACGAACGAGGGTCTCCCTTCCAGCGATTCGCCGCCGCCTGCTGACGAAGAGGCCGATCCACTGCGCGCGCCTGCAGACCAGCCAGCCGTCCTCTGTGAACTGCTGGAGGGGCCAGCAACGCGAAAGACACCGTCACTTTGTGGGGGGCCCTCTCGCACTCCCCCCCCTCGCGCTGGACAGTAGGCGCTGCAGCCTCAGCGTGTGGCGCCCGAGGTGCCCCAGAAGGCGCGCCAGGGCGACGCCGCGCATCGCTCCCGTCAGTGTCGACGCCGCCGAGATGCGTCGCCGTAGCTGAGTGCGCAGCCGAAGCCGTAGTGCACGTGGGCCCGAGGGGCAGTCCCCCGACCCCGCGTGCATCTACCAGGGCGCGCGTGCTGGCGCGCGACGCCGTAGCCGAGGGGGTTGCCATAGGTGTAGTGCACGTGAGTCCGCGGGGCACTCCCCCGACTCCGTGGGCCTCGTCCAGGGCGCGCATAACAGCGCAAGATGCCGTGGCCGAGGGTGTTGCCGTAAGCGTAGTGAGGGGAGTGCGCGATGGGCCCGCCAAGGCCGAAGCTGGCTCCAGCCAGATCTCCATGCCCGCAGCGAACGGGGGAGGGACGTGTGTGTCATCAGCCTCGCCCTCCTCCATGAGCTCGTCGACGTGGGCAAAGCCCCCCCGTAGCTCAAGAGAAAGGGCTTCTTCTCGGCGGGCACGTCTAGCAGCTAGCACGCGCTGCCTCTCGCCGTTAGGGTCAAGCGCCTTGGGGGGGAGGGCGTTGAAGGCAGCGGGCATGGTGTGGGAAGCTGCGTGCACCGTCGTTCTTGGCGGGCTGTCTCCGCTACAATTGGAATAGCGCAGTGCGTCTTCCAAGGGGCGGCCAGCTCCGCGGAGACCTTCGAGGAGGGGCAGTCGGTGGACGCTACAACATAATCGTACATCCTGCCCTTGCCCTGGTCGCGCGTGACCTCGCGGTCGGGCAAGGCGAAGCGCCCCCCAGTTGGCGCAGCCATTCACTCTCGCGGGACCCCTCTGGCTCGACGTTCCAATCCGCCATGATCAACCAAGGATCCGCGAGGGCACGGGCGAAGGCCGCCAGGGCAACCATGATGTCGTTGTTAAGGCCTCGGAGCTGCAGCCCAGGCTGAGGATGGGCTGCAATGACATTGCCCAGCTTCGTGCGGAGGGTGAGCGGCGCAAGCCCCTTGCATGGGTCCACCCGCCCCACCGATCTCATCGCGTTGCGCATCATCTGGAAGGACGTCGTGGCGACATGGGGTCGGGGGAGCATCCGCTCGCTTCCGGACAGTCTAGCTTCAGAGCGTCCCGAGGGCCGCGCTTCGGTGGCGTGGAGCAGCCACCCATCCTTGCGCAAGTCCACCTCGATCTTGTTCAACTCGGAAGCGCCTTTGTGGGTCTCGACCAGGCCGACGACCGAGGTCTTGAAGTGATGTTCCGTGATGCACCGCTGGGCCGTCGGGCCCCACTCGGTAATGTTCGACAGAACATGCTCGTAGAGGTGCGCGGCTGCGTCGGCGACGCCGACGCGGTGGGCGGCAGGGCGCCGCCGCTCGCCTGATTAAAAGGCAAGAAGGGCCAGCAGCAGCAGCCGCTGGAGCAGGTTGGGGAGCGGCAGGGCCCGCAGCCGCCGCCATGGTCTTGGCCGCGTGGGCACCCTCGGCAAGGTGGGCGACGGCCGCCGCCCGCCGCTCCTTGGCTTCGGCGGAGAGCTCGACGTTGGGGCCCTTGCCCGCTCCCTTAGCAGGGGGCGGCGCACCCGCAGGCGGCTGGGCGGTGCCATCGGCAGGGCCTGACAGGGCCTCCTCAGCGCTTCTTCTTGGGCGCCGACAGGGCCTTGCGAGCCTGCGTGAGGAGGTCCTGGAACTGCTTCTCACGACGCCTGGCCTCCTCTTTGACAGCCGCGAGCTGAAACTGAAACTCGCGCAGCTGCACCTGCTCCTCCTTCTCGAACTCATCAATGTGCTGGAAGAGGTCGGCGTCGACGCCGAAGGGCTCAGAGGCAGGCGGAAGCGGCGCCTCCTTGGCATCGGCGGCCTCCTGAGCGAGGATGCGCCCCTTGTCCGCATCGTAGAGCGCCGCCGCCGCGAGCAGCTGGCGCTCCTTCGCCTCCTGGAGACGCTCCTCCGCCTGGACCAGCTTCTCCGTGGCCTGGTTGAGGGCGTTCTGCTTCTGGGCGCACTTCGCAGCAGCCTCCCTCTGGAGCACGTAGGGGCACTTTGGCGGGGCTTCAGGCGCGATCGCAAGCGCCTGGGCCTGCACTTTGTCGACCGGGCCGAGCGCCGTGGGGTCGTTGGTGAGACCGGCGGCGGCCAGCTACTTCTGGAGAAGGTCTTGGGCATCATCGCCTTGCTGCCCACCTCCTTGACCGCCGCGCTTGCCTCCCTTCTGATCGCCGCCGCTACCGCCACCGTAGTTGCTTCCGCCAGCGGTGTTCCAGGCGTTCCACTGAGGGTCAGGGAAGAAACAGATCTCGCCGCAGACGCCGCACTTGCCGTTCTGGCGCTTGAGGTGCCAGTTCCAAGCCCAGTTCTGGCAGCTCTGGCACCAGGTGAAGCCCCGCACATTGCACTTGTCCTGATACTTTTTCCCGCCCGTGGGAAATGCTCAACAAAGCTCGCCGACCCGACCTCGCTTGACGATGGGTTCCAACCTGGGGCAAGACAGGTGAATGAATGTCGGGCGCAAGCACCCTGGCACTGCCGCGGAATAGCGGTATCCGTGATTGCCAATGCGGGCTCAACCCGCCCAAAGCAAAATCTTGATTCAAAATGGCTGCGGAGGAAGAGGAGGAGGAGGAGAAGGAGGAGGAGGAGGAGGAGGAAGAAGAGGAAAAGGATGAGAAGGAGGAGGAGGAGGAGGAGGAGGGGGAGGAGGATAATGACGATAATGGGGATAATGAGGATACTAAGGCTGAGGATGAGGAGCAAAAGGAGGAAAAGGAGGAGGAGGAGGAAGAGGAAGAGGAGGAGGAGAAGGAAGAGGAGGAGGAGGAGGAGAAGGAGGAGGAAGAGGAAGTCAGCCCGAAAATATCGGCCACCCAGCAGGGATCATGCCACGGGGGGGGTGATCGGCTCGCGCCGCCTCGCCAATTTGTCGAGCTCCGCCGTCGCCCTCTCGTTGGCCTCGGGGCGCCGGAGGGTGAATGAGGGTCCGAGAGGCATGCGGGGGTCCCCCTTCTCGTCCCCCTTCCTCCGCCTCCCCCTCTTCCTGCTCCGTCTTGTCTTTGTCCTTGTCCTTGTCCTGGTCGCCGTCGTCGTCGACCTTCTCCTCTTCCTCCTCCTCTTCCTCCTCGCCCTCTGCACCGCTGGAGGGGGCGGGGGGCAGGAGAAGCCAGGGGGAGGGAAGGGGCGGAAGAGGGATGTCTGAGGCCATCCTTCGCCCGCTCGGTGTCCATGTAGGACCGCGCCGTCTCGAGGGAGGGCACATCCATCTCCTCGAACAGCACGATGAAGCGGGGCCTCCGCCGAACCGCCCACTGAATTCCACTCCGCGATGGCTCTCATCAGCGGCCTCGGGCCCCCGCCATCGCTCGGGCCCCCGGCGGCGGCCGGGCTTCGGGCACGTCGCAGCCATCCGCCAATCAGAAAATACGCTGCGGCGTCCTCGCGCATGGCTTGATCCGGGCGGCCGTGTAGCGCCCTCAAACGCTTCCGCACCGGCTCCTCGGCCACTGCCCTGTCCACTAATGCCGTCAGCGGCTGCCGCGCCTCCTCCACGCTGAGGCCCGCGGCCTCTGCCACCTGCGCGGAGAGTTCCCTCGAATTCGGCCCTCTCCGCCTGCAGCGCCAGGTGCAGTCCGAGGAGGTCGTGCTCCTGTAGTGCTTTGCCGACACGCCGCCGCGCGGTGTCGACGGCGCACGGCCCAAGGGCCAGCATCTAGGCCCAACCTTTGTTCAAATCGGCCGAGCGCCTGATCCCCACCGGCCACAGGCATCGGGCAGAGTGAGAAAATACACATTCGTGCTGGCACACGGTGGCAGAAACCCTAAATGCAAGCGCTGTTTGGGGAATGGTTTTGTTTGTTGGAACTCCTGGTCGGCTACGGCACTCGTCCGCGGGTAAAGAAAAACATTCACGCAATGGGAACGGATGGGAGGGATGCGCAGGATGTGAGATATGGCGCGCGCTTTCCTAGCTTGCCCTCTCTCCCCTCGCCGCCTACTACCTTCTCTCCCCTCCTCAGTGCCGCCCCCTCCTCTCCCGACCTCCTCTGCACCTGCACCCTACTCCCCCTCCCCCTCCCCCTCCCCATTCTGACCCCCCCCTCTCCGTCCACACTCCCCCATTCACCCGCTCTGCGACACGACCTCTAACTCTTGGAGAATGGATGGGCTGAAATAGACAGGGCCCGTCCTCGCCATTATCTCCCACATACAAGCTACAAACAGGTCATCCCCCAGGAAAGGGGGCTTCCCCATAGTCAGATCTTCCATCTCAGAAGAACTGTCTATTGGCTGTCCGCCTGCTCGTAGACCTGGAAGCTTCATCAATGATCTCCCCCGCTCGCGCCGCGCAGGACGAAGAGGGCCCAGGTTGCCAGACCTCAGACGATTTTGTTAAACCTGACTCCAAATATCTCGACCCCTTGCCGTCGCGGACCACTTTGTGCTGGCTCTGGTGCCTGAGCACTGCCCCACGAAGTCAAAACTTGAGGAAACGACGGGATCTGTATGCGGCGGGGGAAGGACCAAAAAGGAAACTAGGTTCAGGGAAGTCTCTTCCAGAACATACTTGAAAACACCGTTCTGGTGTTTCTGGAAGTTCTTCTAAAACATCGGGAGAGACGCGTCTGGGCCAACGTGCGTTGCTCGGTGGCTTCTGGCTGGTCTTGCCCCCCCTCGCCCGAACATGGGGCAACTCATAACAAACTAAGACGGAATCCAACCATGTCAGTACCAATCCCAACCAATTGGTACCAAGTCCAACCGGTCTGGAAGCTCTGTTGAGGCTCAGTAAAGGCTTCTTAGAGGTTATTCAAGGGGGGGGAGCTTTCGCGAGCGTCCTTTTCTCCTGCGTGCAGTAGGAGCTCGACCACAAGAAACCTTCGACACGCAACCCAGCCCTGGACCCACAGGATGTCCATTGATTTTTGGTGTGGGAGCGTAACGCTTTCCATAGCAAAACCATCGAAACCCAGAAACCTAGGGCTGGAGGTAAGCAGGGTGTCTCTTGGCATAGGTTCCCCTTGTAAAACAAATCAATCCGCCTCCTCCCATCCCCCCCTGCCTCGGGGCGGCAACGGGCAATGCCCCCTGCTCCCTGCCCTCTCCTGCCCCCCCCACTCTGGCTCCCCCCCGTGCACGGGAGGCAGGTCCGACAAGGAGGAGTGGGAGAATGAGGAGGAAGAGGAGAAGGAGGAGGAGGAGGGAGAACGAGCAGGAGGAAGAGGAGGAGCCAGGAGGATGGGACGAGGACGAGGACGAGGGAGCAGCAGGAGGGAATGCGAGGGCGAGGAGGCTCGTCCTCCCCCCCACCCCCCCTTGCCCGGAGCGGGCCAGGCCTGCGCGGCGTCCGCGGCGGCGCGCTCCTCGGGGCTTGCATGCTGGCTACTCCTCTCTCCCAGGACGCCCCAGGGGGGTCTGGTTCGGGTGGCGCTCGGAGAGGAGCAGGGGAGAGGAGCAGGGGAGAGGAGCAGGGGAGAGGAGTAAGGAGGAGGATGATGATGATGATGATGATGAGGAGGAGGAGGAGGAGGAGGAGGAGGAGGAGGAGGAGGAAGAGGAAGAAGAGCTTTTTTACTCGACGAATGGGGCTGTGCGTGCCTGTAGAAAACGGCGTACACTGTGTGTGGCAAACCGTCGCTGGAGGAGGAAGGGGAGGAAGAGGAGGATTGACATCCACGGCCAAAGACCCCAGTGATAGGGCGAAAGATGGTCGGCAAGAGCGAAAACCGCTCATGCCCGACACAAATGATGCCCGCAACTCGGTTAGTCGGAGGAGCCAGACTCTTCACCCGTCTCCAGAGCGGGGGATGACTTTGCCCGGCTCTTGGCTGCCGAGCGGGCTCCAGCACGCAGAGTCCCTCTCTCAAACGAGGGGGCGGCGGCCGCGGCTCCCGCCCTGACGGCGGGGGGGCTCGCGGCCTCTGCGTGAAGAAACAGAGAGGCTTCCTCTTTTGCGTCAAAATCTGGGCCGACCGCGGAAGGCGGTGGCGGGACGATAGCGTCCGCAATTCCCTTCACCCCACGCCGCTCACCACCGACTCCCCCTCCCACAGATAGGCGAAGCAGCACAGAGGTGGCTGGACCAGCCTCGGCAGGGAAGCCGACTCCCGCGTCCGCAGCAGTCGTCCTGCCGATCGGCATGACCGTCTCGAGGTCAGCGCGGGCTCCCTTCTTCTTGTGATCAGGGTGTAGTCCACGGCCCAATCTGGACAAAACTTCGCTGCGCTTTGGCGGGTGTTCAAGACATTGCTTGGCTAGACCTCGTAGCTGCCGTCCGAGAAATCAATCACCGCGCAGCGGTGACCCAACTGGCGGAGCGAAGCAGGGTCCACCTTCAAGACCCTACTGCAAACGCCGTCGGGGGGCTTCGAATTGCTGCGAGAGACCCTGAGGCAATGGGGGCACTGCCAGCAGCTGCCCACCCAACTCCAAACATGGGCGGGCCCCGAAGGCCTCTGAGGCCGAGCAGCAGCGGGTGTGCGCTCGACTCCTGTCAGGTCAGTGCGGGGCCACAATCACAAAACTTTCGCAGCAAGCTTGGTGACAGCCCTCAGAACTGAGATAAGGAAAGAGTAGCTGTCACGCTCCTCGTCGCTGAAATCTGGATGCAGGTGCGCGCCCGCCTTTGCCGCCTCATCCGCGGCGTTGTTGCCGATGATGTGAGCGCGCTCGGCTGCTGGCAAGTCTGCATTGTCCTCCTGATGCGCCTTCACCTTCGTGGCAGCGCGAAGCAAACTGCCAACGAAAAAAACACATTGCATGACGAGACCACTGTATGGGCGGCGCAAAGACAGTCTCTCTTCACGGCTCTTGCCGTGCTGGTTCACAACCGCTTGGCAATCACTGAAAAACTCGGCTGGGCCACTAAGCACGCTGGCCGCTGAAGTGGGGGCTGCGAATTCAGCCGCAACACTCGTCTGTGGGAAATAGCTGCCTAGGGCCCCATACATGCGCGCAAGGACCTGCCCCGTTTCACCAACCAAAGCCGCTCCCCAACCAGCTCTGGAAAGGTCCTTGATCACATGACGCGAGCACGAGCCATCCAGGTATATAGCACCTCTCAAGGCCCTCTCCCCAACGGGCGGAACTTCTAAGCCTTCGGCCTCGTAGGCCTCGGGGTAGGTCTGGAGGAGGAGGAGGAGGAGGAGGAGGAGGAGGAGGAGGAGGAGGAGGAGGAGGAGGAGGAGGAGGACAGCAGGTACCCGCACCAACCCGCAGGATGATCGCCGATACAAGCACCCCGACACCAACCAATGACATCGACGACTCGAACCACCCACTGCTCACAACAGAAGACGTTGTCTACCCCAGGGAAGCGGAACTGGACAACGCCACGATCCAGGTTACAGACGCGGCCAACATGACACCATGGACGTAGCCAGCCCGTTCGAAGCAGAGCCAGCACGGCAACCGTGGCCATCGTTCGCAGTTGCATCCCAGCTCGACCAGTCGACCAGCCTGCGGAATCTGGAGGCTCCTCTCAAAATCGCCCACAACCAGCGACGCAGAGGCCTCACGATGGGACCAGCCGAACGGCGGCCCATCAGTGCGTCATCGACCTCCTACATTTTAACCCAATTTGCGCCGCTAGACTAACAGCAAACGCCAACAGCCGCCAGATGCTACTTCCTACATCCATTTCTGGGCACTATGTTTCTACCAAGCCGCCGAACTCACTGGACACCCAGCAGCAACAACAATTGGCCCGCACCGACTACCTACCATCTCTGACTTCCTATCCAACACTCCATGGCGACGGCAATACGAGCATCCCCCAAACTATGCTATGCAGTGGGTCCACGGTAATACAGGACTCCCAAACCCGCCGTCCCAGCCACGTGTGCTACATAACCGACGTGCCGCGAGAGTGCCAGCTACACCAGACCAGCGGGTAAAGCTCTCTCATGTGCCCCCTTGTTGGGGGATTCATCACCGGCTCCGAGCTGGGGCCTCGGGGG